ATATATTTCAATATATATTTCTGTGTATATTAATATAGACTCATGGTGTTTTATTTTGTTCAATAAGCTTTAACCTTTACATTATTATTTATTTATTTTATTTTATTTTTTTTGGCGGGACCGAGGATTGAACTCAGTCCCTTGCACTTGCCAAGCAAGCACTTATCCTACTGAGGTATCTCCCCGGGCTATTATTTATTTCAGTGGCCAAATTATCCCAGATTTGGCCCGTGAGAGTTTCTTCAAGCTGGCTTTTATGGGCATTTTCATATATCCCAATCATCCTTTCATGTCTTCCCTGTTTCGCTAATAGATTTTTAAGGTTCGTCTTGTTTCTGTGCCCTACCCTCAAAATCAACACTGATACTCCAAATTCATTGCAACACCTCAGATTTCAACACAGCATTTATCTTTTGTTCTTTCCATATTTCACATGAAATCTAACTCCCATGTTGTGGAAAACACAAAAATATTTTATGTATTTCATCAATCCTAGAATGTACAGAATTCCACAATTCTAGGATTCCAGAATTCCTGATCCATGCCTCAAAAGGAATATCATAGAAATTTTAGTTTCCTAATCATAGCATTTAAAAGCTAAATCAAACTTTATTACTCTCAATTTAATTTTTTTTAGACATTAGATCAGCAACAGTTTTTCACAGAGGAAGAACTAAAAGAATATGAGAATATTATTGCTTTACAAGAAAATGAGCTTAAGAAGAAGGCGGATGAGCTTCAGAAACAAAAAGAAGAGCTACAGCGTCAGCATGTCCAGCTTGAGGCTCAGAAGCAGGAATATCATCAGGTGGTAATTTATAAAAGGACTATGATATTCAAAAGAATTAAAATGAAAATATTGCGGAAATTCCGAGGAAATGGAAGGATTTTAATAGCAGTACAGGCCCAGGCTCCTAGAGCCCAACAACAGGCTGAGCACTAGATAAAAGGAGAGGGTCCCTTTTGTACAACTTGTAGTGTTGAGCAGGTGGAGGTACATTCAGGAGACAAAGGCAGCAGTCCTAGTACCATATCTTATCTCCGCCTTACAAAGGGAACATGATGCTGTAAAGCTTGTTTACAGCTCTGGTTGTCAGGTTTCCTGTGAGAGAACTGCTTGAAGTGTCTCTCATCAGTGAGAAAGCACAGGACCACATTCCTGAGGCAGAGGTAGTCCAGGAGCTACTTGCTTAGAGCTCACCCCCGGCCCCCGCCTCTTTTTGAGACAGGGTCTCACTGTGCAGTTCAGGCTGGCCTTGAAGTCGCCTTGAATACCAGGCTGGTCTTAAACACATGGTGATCCTCCTTTCTCAGCCTCTTGAGCTAGAGGTGTTACGGTTTTTCCAGAGAGGGCTGGGGAGATGGCTCAGTAGAATAAGTGCTTGCCTGGCAAGTACAAGGGCCAGAGTTCAATCCCCGGTTCTGCAAAAAAAAAAAAAAAAAAAAAA